GTTACCGCGTCCTTCGCTTCCACAGCGGGATCCGCTGGGCGGAAGCCATATTCTACACGAGGGTCAATGACCGGCAGTATATGGGCGCGCTTCAGAGCCGCCTTATGAATAGCTTGAAGCTGCCCCCTCTGAGCCCCGTAGAGGTCATTGGTGATTACACCACGTTCCTCGGTTGACAAGAAGTCAGGGAACGGACATGGGGTCCGGAAGGCACGAGCAGGGCTCGTATCAAGCTGCTGGCGCAACTCGCCTTCCTCGTCATCCCATCGGGGAAAGGAGTGTCAGACTCGTAATCGACCAACCCCACATCCTCAAAAAGGTCGTTCTTCACTGGTAGCGTGCGCTGAGCGCGACGTTCGTGCTCATTGAGCCTAGGATATACGACCCCCGGTGCCGCGGACGCACAGTCCGACATCGCACCGTGTACGGGGGATGAAGTTGGGCTCTGCCTGTGCTTGCAGTCAGAACCAGCGAGACTTGGTGATTTTTGTGTCGTGGATACAGGGCTCATTGAGCAAGGAAGTTGTTAAATTCCAACAAATTGAGTTGCAGCGTCTAACACGCGAGCCTCGTCGAGGCAGTAATCAATTGGAGCTGTAAATATTATCAATTTTAATGAGGGAGGGTGTAACGGGGTTACACGTACCTGGTAAAAGAAGTGTGTGTGTCACACGACATGGGCATGGTGTGATTGCACCTAAACAAGAATACGGTATGTGGCTAGGTAGCCAGTAGTTATGCATGTATTTCGAATTTATTATATATATAGTATATTTAGGAAAATCCAAACTTTCAAAATGAAGATAAAATTTTTAAAAGTTATAGAATTTAAACTGAAGAGTTTGGTAAGGTAATAATTACTTTTGGAGTAAGCGGATTGCAATCCGCCAACTCATACTTGGTTCATGTAAATATGGAAAGGTCGGTGACTTAGAGTATGCTTTCTAAAGCGCTTAGCTACGGCAGTCCCGCTGCATTTTCCTGATAAGTGGTTGGAAAAATGGAAAGGTATCACGAGAGCATCGCACACGATTGGAAACCGTTTTGGGGCGCTTTGCAACATCATAGCTGGATACTGCAGATATTGCGCTGCGAATCCGATCCAGTCCTTACTGAGATACTTGATATCTGCAATGATGCAACAACTTCTGAGATGGCTAAGCAATCACAAAAAAACTATTTAAAATTTCTCAACTATCTTTTGCTTCTATTTTTCTTAAAGTGCTTGGTTTTGGATTGAGAGAAAGATGAAGTTTGCTGACTGACTTATAACATGGACGAATGATGTACGCAAAACAGTTGACTTTACGAAGAAGTTATTTTGAGACATGAAAGGCTTCCCCACGTTTAACTCGATTACCATTTTAATTTCGACGTCGAGCTTAATTTAACTTTTTTCAAATTGGTGTATACCACTTTTGGGAATGCTGGTCTTGTTCCTGGATCGATAACATGGATAACCCAAGGATGTAACAGCTTTTAATGTACATATAAGCAAAAACAATTTCACTTTGAGAACCCAAAGTTACAAAGCAACTATGTGCTAGATCTTTCCACATAAACTCTTTTACTTTTCTAGTATAATTCAGCTACCACTTTCATTGCACAGAAGCTGTTGCATGCTGTCGCGCAATGAGAAGAACAAAAACCAGTAACAGCACGACAAAAACCAGAATTATTGCAAGTAGCCAGGCATTCCAGCGACTTGAATCTTCACCTGCAAGTTCCTCTCGATACTTTTGTGCCCAATTTGGTACAATCATCAAATCTGGTCGTTGTCGATATAGCTCCTCTTTCTCATGTGGTGTAAGCCGTCGCATCATAGATCGAACAAGTTTCTTACGTTTTTTTCTGCTTCGTGGCGTCAACTGACCATCACTTTTGCTCCTAAAATTCAATAATTTCGATCGAGGACTTCCACTATTGCTATCTCCGTCTGCAAGCATGAGCAAGTGTGTTTCCTGTTCATCGCAAATGTCGTCATAAAATTCTTCATCTCCATCCAAAACGTCCTCGTGCCATTGAACCCCCTTCTTTTGGTGTTGAGAATTAAACGTCTCGCAGTCAATTGCGACAGCTGCACTTAATGCAGAAACACGCTTGAGTGCCGGCCGTAATTTTGGTGCACGAAAATTTTTGCCATCATTCTGTATTGCATCAGGTGAGAGTTGTAGTCCGTCTCCATCTGTATCAAGATCATCCAAATTCGACATGTTGGATAACGGAGATGTGCCCGATAAAAGATCATACTCCTTTGTTTCAGACTTGACAAGATTTGTAGCGCGTTGTAACGAGCTTACAAACGCCCCGCCAATGATTCCCACAGCCTCCGCAGGAGACATTTTCGATTTTATTGGGCTTGTCATTTCTCTTTCTAATTCATTCATCTCTCTTACTTCTGTCGCAATGGCTTTTGCACGACGATGTGCAACTTCCATGGCGTGTCTGGATACTTCAGGAGAGAATAGCGAGGGGTCTACGTAATCCTTTTCCTCGACAGGCAACTTTTGCGTAACACGCAACGGCGGTAATACGTTCTTCCGTTTGCCATTGAAGGAATTTCCTTTTTCTTTATGGACATCCACCACCACCGCTTCGTTTCTACTAACTTGCTCGCCACTTAAAGACGCTGGTGAGGGTACATTCCGAGTTTCATGGTCACTGTCGTTGTTAATCACGAGTACAGACACTTCGTGAGCGTCTGTTGGTGTCTTATGAACCGCTGGCTGCACAAAGTGAGATCCGAGTGAGTCCATATTCAAAACTGTAGAGCTTGGAGATGTAGCCGACACAGCAGGCGCATCATCGTTTAATGAAACCGTTTCCATATACATACTGGACGAAGTCGTCATAATTTATGCCTGTAGAGCAACCGAAGTCGTGAGAGCGAGATATGCAACGTACTCGGCGCTTATAGTGTGTAAGTAATCTGACGCTACAAACGACGCCGCAAAATAAAGCGGGCGAATAGACGCTCGACTTTATGCCGTGCGTCTCCAGTTCTGCTAAAGAGTGGGAGAGCCACAATCTAGGTCATAAATATCCTCGTATTAGTGACTGGGTACCAAGTTCCACACCGTACCTGTAACCATAGATTTTATGTAGTGTGATTACGATGGAAAACAAACTGTCCGCTCTATCGCAATGTGAACACGACTCGTCTGAGTTCCGACTCGACAAGATGTCAGTTTGTAATGTATGAATATTGGATATGATTATTGCATTTGTATCCTTATCTTCAGGTATGTTTACCTAACTTCTTCGATTCTAAATCAAAATGTAAGCAATGGAATCGCCCAAAGTACCGCCAATCATCGTGCCGATACCGGGTCGTACTGCCGTGCCCAAAGCAGCGCCAACCCCACCTGTAATGACTGCTAGTGCCGAGCGAGACGCATTAAGACCAGTGGAGGACATGAACGTTGCGATCGAATCCTCGTCATCGTTGCTGTCGTGGCTCGGGATGCCTTCTTCGACAATTCGTAAGTTTGTGTTGAACTTGATGATACGTTTTCTATTCAATAAATAGCGTCGGTATAATATGAGCACGAGCTGCTGTGTCTGTAACAAAGCCAAAATAACATATTATGCATCAATATCCTATGTAAAATGCTCAAAACTCTGAATCAAGGTAAACCTCTTCCACTAGAAAGATCGCTAAATGGCTCAGCATGTTGGCACGCATACCAGTTTTGATCATCATAGCCGCGGACGTCAACCTGCTTGACGTACGTGCGTACTTACGCATCGCCGATTTACTTATGTCTACAAAGCAAAAATAATTAGCGTAACTACTTGCAAAATCAGCAAATATAATCGCTTACGGACCTTTGATGAGCTTGCTGACGGTCTGGGGCCGACAGTAGCGCAGCGCCACTTCTTCAAACGAGCGTACATACGTGATGATGGTCAGCGACTTGACAAACGATTTAGAACTGGCGACGCCAAACTCCTCGATGGTGGGAAGAACAAAGTCATCTTTCTTTTCCGACACTGCATCTTCGTCCGCGAAATCATCCTCGCTAGATTCCTCGTCCGAAAGCTCCATGTCCAATGAAGCCACGTATGCATTAAAGATCATTAGACCTTGTGTGGCTACTGAGCGCACAGCAAGGATAGCCACATCTTTTGGGTAAAAGTGCTTAAAAAAGGGTTTCTTGTCCACCAATAAGTAGGTTTTCTGTGGCTGTTTCGCAGCGACGACACTCATGCCTGCTGCTCACGCTGCCAGCACTACACTTGAGGGGGTATTACCGGTTATTGAATCGTGTTTAGCACACGAGATGAAAAGTCGTACTTAATCAGAAAGGGCTGCTAACTGGGAAATCGATCTGATTCTTGTAATGGACTCAGCGAGTATTGAGCGAGTTTTCCGCCGTGACGCTTGTGCTGGCCGCGTTGCGCTTGTAACAGGCGGAGGGTCAGGAATTGGTCAAGAGATTGCCATTAAGCTTGCTGAGTATGGCGCCAAGGTTGCAGTGCTTGGACGCCGAGAGACTGCGCTACAAAGCACCTTGAACATTATGCATAAGTGCGGAGTTCCCGATACTGCCGGTATGCTCATTAAGGGTGATGTGCGTTCTACTGACGATGCAAACAACGCGGTAGCGCAAGTAGTAAGAAAATTTGGAAAGCTCGATGTGCTGGTGAACTGTGCAGCTGGCAATTTTCTGGCGCTGGCTGAGAAACTTTCGACAAATGCTTTTCGTACAACCATGGAGATCGACGCTATTGGTACTTTTAACATGAGTCGAGCAGCATTTGAAGCGCTTAAGTGCAGTGGTGATGGACGCATTATCAACATTTCAATGACACTGCATCTCTCGGCCTCGTGGTACCAGGTGCACGCATCAGCTGCCAAGGCTGCAGTGGACAGCATTACCCGCTCGCTTGCATTGGAATGGGGCCAATTCGGGATCCGAGTGACTGGTGTCGCTCCTGGACCAATCGCCGACACAACAGGATTAGTCAAGCTTGGTGGAGATATGGAGGGTGAGAAGATGGATAAGGTTCTGGCTAGATCTATTCCGGTTGGCCGTATTGGTACTAAAACGGATATTGCAGCAGCCGTGCTGTATCTAGTCTCTCCGGTGGGAAACTTTGTGTCAGGTGACATTTTGATCGTAGATGGTGGAAATTACCTTTACAAAAAGCCTATTGCGCCTCGTGAATCGCTTGAAAAGTGGTCGAAACAAATGGAACAGAAATTACGCATAACAACAGAGTCAAAATTGTAAGCAAGTTGACTATTTCTCGTCAAGTATAATATATTTGTATCGAACGAATATTCGTATTACAAGTACAGCACAACAGGAATCATTTGCAAAAGTTGAAGCTTTTCATATGAACGTTGCAAATATCTGCGTAGAAGCATTTGCAACCTTGAACAGTAACTGACATTGGTGCAAATGTATAAATTATGATAGTTCAGTTGCACGATAGCTTGCAAATGCAATTGAATAGGGGACACAAAGGTGAAACTGTTGAAAAGCAAAGCAATTATTTGGTTTATTTTGTGAAACATGTCACGAAGTGAATATTTGCAGTGGCAGACACAGATTCTGAAATTATGACTGATAAAGCAGTTTTACTGCCCATATCTGACTCCCCGTCCAGTTACTTGGTTTTCTTAATGGTGACTGTAATCGAACTTGCCATTAACACGCTTCCAGTAGTTGCTCTTCTCCTTATCTTCTTGGGTGGCACCACGAGTTGGAAGGATGCCACAAATCACCCATGCAGCGCTTCAGATATAGTAAAGCAAACGTTTGTCAGAATAATGCCAATATAGAGAAACAGGCTGCGAGGAGAAGTTACACATACACTCCGGCAATGAGAAACGGCTGGAAGTGAGCGCGCTTAGACTCGTGCACCAAAAATTGGGTGAATGGCAATTTGTGCCATCTCACAGCTTTCTTAGTAACGACGTCGGTGGTCATGTTTTTCTTGAGATTTCAAGCAGCACAAATGAGAAATGGGGTAGCCCCAGACGCGGAATTTGATTTCCTGCTTAATTAGTTCAAGCGGAATATAGAGGATATTAAAGGTTTCATCAAGAATTTCCTAACATGCAGAGATTAAGCTCACTACATATTTTTCAAACTGATTTGATAATAGTATTATAGTGTAAGTGCATAACAGAGTTGGCTTAACAAGAAAGCTTTTCGTCACGGATGACGATCGAAGAAAAACCCGGAATTACAACCGATAAAAGTATTACTGATACAGATCAACGATAATAGCTTGCAGCCTTAGTTTCACCGGAAAAGTAGACGGAAGAATCCATTACGAATTAAATGCGGATCAGACGATCAGACAAGTAGCATTTCTAAGTTCAACACTTCCTTATGCTCAGCTTAGTAGTCTTCGTCTCCTCCGAACATGTCCATGCCGCCTCCAAGGTCCTAGAATAATCAATCACAGCAATCTATTAGATAAATCTTTCACTCAGCCCCACGTATTTCGACTTACAGCTTCCTCTTCCTCTTCCTTGGGTTTCTCCTCCACCTTCTCGACTTCACCACCAGCATTTCCAGAAGCAGCACCTGGAGCAGAAGCATTGGCTTGTCCAGCGGCAGCTCCACCAGTGGAAATGATATCCAAAACCTTTCCTTCCTTCGATAAAAGCGAAGAAAAGAGAGTTGGCCAATATGGCTCTACTTCGTTACCCGATGCTTGCACAATCTGATCAATAGCTTCGGAAGTAATCTCATGTTCTGCATCGAAGAGGATCATGGAAGCGTACGCCACGCATAACTCATCGTGCTGTTCCTTGGAGATCGTCGACATTCTTCCGCGTCTGCTTTAGCTTTCAGCAAATAAATACCCCAACAGATACAATGGCTCGACCTAATTGGTTGGCAGTGAGGTGCTTTCATACGTACATTCGTCTAAGTTCGAGTTGCGTTGTTACTCCAATATACGTTTTAACATCATGTTGGGTACAACACACCAACTTGAATCTACAGTCTAACAACAACATGGTCGGTGATAGAGACGCCATTCAGGACAATTACAACTCGGTGTCTTGCACGTCGTTCGATACGCTTGACGCTTTAACTTCCGATGCTATAGTGCAACAAAATAGCCACGAAATAGCCGTGTCATTGTCGGATAAAAATAGCGACGGTAAAGAGAACCGTGTGCCTCTTATTGGGGATAATTGGGGTCATCCAAACATTACCATGAGACGTCGAAGTCGAAAATCAGCCGATCTACATGCTTTCACTTCCAATTCCGAGCCACCTGTCTCGTCGTCGATTCTTGGGAAACGTTTAGCTTCAAATACTTCTTTAGGAACTTTCAATGAGAGTGAGGAAAGTGATTTTGATGCAGACAGAGCGCATCGTGTCTCGTTAGAATCTTCCAAAGCTACGACGCACTTTGAAGCACGAGCGTCGGCACTTCATACCGAGTTGTTGGATATAGGGCCGAAGACTGGTGGCTCGATTTTCGCCTCATTGCGAGTGGATGATTATAATCATATTCCAGAACTACACTTTGGCTCTGTAGCCGTCGGTGACCGAAGAAGCAGACAATTGATTATAGAGAACACGAAAGAGATTGGAAACGCGAGAGTAAAATACGATGGACATGTCTTGATATCCAGGTCATCCGAATTGTTACAGAGCAAAACAAGGTTTAAATGTGATCTTCACGTCTGTGTTGTGGGCGCGCTTAAGTCTGTGACCTTACGAGTGACGTTTGAGCCTTTTTCGTCAGATGTCGGTCGACAGGTTATGGCTATGCTAAAGTTCACAGTAAATGACAAACATAAGCTTCAATGTCGAGCAATAGGAGATGTGACTCCACGCGTGCCAAAGTTATCGAAAGTAATTCGAGGAGAATCGGTACCCGATTCGGAAGTTGTAGCGTCTAAAAGGCGACGGTCCTGGAAACCGGAAGAAAAAAGCGGACAATCGACGTCGGATATGTCTTTTACATCAAAAATAAGCTTGTTAAACGATTGGGAATTCGGAACGAAAGAACGACCAACAGTGGGGCATAAACGAAGTTCGAGTGTTGCGATTGATATCTCACCTCCACAAAATGGTGTGAAAAAGAGAAAAATTGAACCAATGAAAGCTTTGATATCGAAAACAAATGCTGGTAAGGTCTATGCGGGGTCTTGGTGGAAACAGCGCCAGACTGTTTATGATGAGAGTTGGATGGCGAAACAGAGGGAAGGATTTACGAAGTGGATTAATTACGTGCTGTTGAATGAGCGACTGAGCGATTGTGACGCACAGGGTAAACACGAGGAACAAGATGTCAGAAATAGGTTCGACTTTTCGTCTCTGCGTGTGCTAACTCAAAAACGGATGGAATCTAAGTGGATGCAAGCTGCTGTCGAATTGTATCAGTCTCCAAGCATGGAAGACATCTTATTTAATTTGCAGGATGAAATTGGAAACAAGGGGCTTGAATTTCGTTCCGACCGTCCTGTGTATGCTGACGTAGGCTTGCAAGAAGAACTGATTAACTTGCTCAACAATTATCATCCAGTGTGGCTTTGTTTGGGTCTCTATGCAGTTCTTGGATGTCAAATTATGAAAGAAGAAAAATGCTCGCTTCGTGCCTTGTTTAAGGTGACAACTATTTCACTTCATGATGCCCAAAAAAATTCTTATAATGAAAGAAAAATGCCGCAAATACTACGACGAATCATTGTTAAGCACCTAATTAAAGACTCACATGTAGCTCAGAACTACCGCTTGGTTCAGCACTTGATGACCCCAATAGATGGTTCTACTGCAGATCGTCATGATGGTGGCAATGTTTTTATAAATGAGAAGAAAAATATCAATGGTCGTGAGTATTTTGACGCTTTAACGCAGTCATTCATGCTTAAATTTTTTATGCTCGTAATGTTTTTGGATCGCGCAATCGAGCGCAAAAATGACACATTTATGCAATTTCCGTGTCTGTTTCGAATTGCACCTAAGACGAAGAAATCTGCTTTTGCTCAAGCGCAGGATGTTCACGATAGAAGTCAAGACGATGTAGTCTGGGTCAAAAATTCCCAAGTGTTTTTGACAGAGTTTTGTCGACTTTTTCTAGCGAATGAAGGTCGTATTGACAAGCATTTGAAACTCTTAGGCTATACACTAAAGTACGAACAAACTTCACTAGATGAGATTGATCTGGAGGTGACAAACCTGTATACAGATTTGTGTGACGGCGTTCGACTAGCTAAGTTAATTGAGGCGCTGACAACGCGGTCATTGTCTTTCGATAAGAAAAGTGGGGATGGCAGGATCATTCGAAGTTTGTCGACATTTTTACGGGTGCCTGCACTGTCACTATTACAAAAAACACACAACGTCGAGATATGTCTGCATTATCTTCAAGACAAATGTGGTACATCCATCTTTGATACGCTTTACAGTAGTGACAGTAAGATGGATGAAAAGCTTAAAATCAATGGTCGTGTCCGTGTTTCTGCATCTGGATTCGCTGGTTTACAAAGCAGAGTGAATGAGCAGATGGTGAAATCGCTCGCCAAAGAAATTGTGAGTGGTCATCGAGAGAAAATTCTTGCGTTGCTGTGGCTACTGATCAGTTGCTTCCAGTTGCAATCTCTTGTTGATGCTTCGACCATGAGACGGGAGATTGAGAATGTCGTTAAGCGAATGAGCTTTCGTGCGAAAAATTTCTTCGATTCGCAACAGCAGATAGCACCTCTGGCTCACACGAACGAACATGAATGCTATACGCTGTTGTTAGAGTGGTGTCGCGCTGTGTGTGCCAACTATGACGTAGAGATTTGTGACTTTTCTGGATCATTTGCTGATGGCAAGGCCCTTTGTTACCTTCTTCATTATTACCATCCGATGTTACTATCGAAAACTGACGTGTTGCCAACAACTAGCGATGTTCGGGATGAAAAGAGTAAGGATATGAATGAGAAGTCATTACTTATGAATGAGCAGCGGCACTTTGCGATTGTTAATGATCGCATTAAGCAACTGGGAGAAGTACCAGTACTTATGCCACAGCAGTACAACAGCAGGAACCCTCCAGATGATAAGATGGTGGTCACATTCGTATGCTATTTGCAATCGCGTCTGATGGACTCATACGGCGAAATTCATGCTGCATCTAGATTAAAGCGGTGGTGGCGAAGCCCCTTTATTCGGCTACGACTGTTTCGTCAAAAGTCTCGCAGTGCTCGTGTGGTGCAGCGGTTTTGGTTCACCTCAAGCCAAAAACGACTGGCAATACGTCAATGCCGCAAACTTCTTCGAGCAGCATATACCGTTAAACGATCAGTACAAACATTTGCATTAAGGAAGCGATTCATTCGACTGAGAAAATATGTGATTGCGATTCAGCGGGCCTTCCGTTTGCGTCAGCATTTGCGTGATAATGTAATTATGCAAGAGGCAGCTTCGGTAATTCAGATATACTGGCAAAAGCATTTTGAGTGGACTCGCGGGAAAACTCGAATTTTACTTGAAGTGAGACAACAAAAGGTTGCACAGGAGAAAATGAAATTGAGCTGTTTTGTGATTGAGAAAAACTGGCTGCAGTATCTGTCAAAGGAGGCAGCTCGACTGTATCGACAGCAATTGATTGCTGACCGTCAGGCTGCTGTTAGTATTTTTCAAGCTGCTTGGCGACATAGAAAATGTCGTTTTGTAGCACGGAAGCAACGTCAGGAAATGTGGCGACAGCTGCATTTCGCAGCGCGAATATTTCAGCGAGCTTGGGCTTTCCGAAAAATTCGAGAGAAGATGAAACGACGCGTTGCTTTGCAGCGGTATGAGCAGATGTTGAGAGACAAGGAGTTTCAAGTCAAGCGCGTTGAGCTGAAACAAAAGGTGGAGACACGTGCGGCCACGATTGTTCAAAAAGTGTTTCGTGGGTTTTTACTCAATAAGCGAGAAATAGCGGCGACGAAAATGGCCTGCGTATTTAGAGGTGTGAAGCAGCGACAGCTCTTTCACAGACAAAAGCAGGCCATAAAACGTATTCAGCGGAATGTCCGGGTTTGGCGTCGAGCGAATCAATTGAATGCACTGAAACAGTTATATAACAAGTTTTTGACGTATCAGCAAATGAAGATTCAGGAAGCACAGAAACGCTCTTTGCGACTCCAAGCGCTGAAGTTTAAAGTGGAAATGCGAGCATCTTGCCGCATCAAGACATTCTTTCGACGGTCTCGTCATCGAAAACAAACATGTGCCGCAACAATCATTCAAGCTTCGTTTCGAGGCTGGGCGGCTAGGACTTGGTACCGTACACTTTGTCATTGTACGTGTTTAATACAGAGAAACGTTCGCGTGTGGCGACGTCAAAATCAACTACGTGCGCTTCTGTTGTTTCAAAAGATGCTATTAAGCTATCGGCGCCAGCAACGTGAGGAGGAGGAATTTCTTATGAATCTTCGTCAGGACCGTCTTCGGCGACTACGGAATATAGTGCTACATCGTTCTGCTTTCCGCATTCAATCCGTCTATCGTGTCTATGCTCATCGTAAGCGAATGCTGGCTGCAAAAATTCTACAAACAGCTTTTCGTGGATTCATAGTGCGACTTCGATACATCAGTACTTACTCTAATTTGATCAGAATTCAACGTGCAGCCCATGCGTGGGTTGCAAGGATAAAGTTTCAACAAAGGTTGCGAATGCACCGTGCAGTCGTGAGGATTCAGAAACGTATTCGTGGACGGAATTCTCGCCGTTATCAATTTGATTTCTATACTTTGAAGACGCAATTACAGAAGCTACGTATACACGTGTCGTGCTGGCAGATTGAGTTTTGGTATGAAAAGTGCATACGGAAGTACAGAAGGAAACGGATGTTGGTGATGCGCGCCCACTGGACGCGTTTAAGCTATTGCCTTCTTTTCAAGCGTAGAACAGAAGTCAATCGAATTGAAACTTGCTGGCGGTCGTATCGTCTGAGGAAAATTTTAAATGATCGAGTTGAATACAAATATCATCGCAATATTGCAGCGCAGCATATGCAAGTGTGGTGGTTGGAGCTGTGTTGTAAGTGGGCAGAACGGAAACGGCGAATTGATGAGAAGCACCAGCAAAAGATTAAGGAGATAGCTATCACGATGGGGAGAACGCGTGCTGAACGTAAAATTGCATTGTGGCTTCGTGAAAAAGTGGTCGCTCCTCATCGTGCACATTACAATTTCATTAAGGCGGTACGAAGAGTTCAAGCGTCGTGGCGTGGCGCTATGGTACGCTTGTATAAATGCACGGAGGAGATCACTCAGCAGCGGAAAAAATTGTGTACGATGAAATTAGTTGAACAGGAGGCTGATGCTAGTACAAATTTGTCTTCGAAAAGTTTGGAGCGATTAAGAGTCGAGGTTCGAGATGAATCAAATGCACAGACAAAGCCACCTCAAACGCTGGGTACACGACTGGATCTTGCCCTGCACATGCTTATTTATGGTGAGCGTCTTCAAGACATGCTGTTTGCAAGTTACACGATTGAAGTATGCACGCGCTACTCTCGGGAATGCTGTCGTACTTGTGTACAGCTCCGGATCTCGTCGACTATTTTCGGTGCAATTCGTGGATTAAATAGAAGCCGTCCACATGTAGAACTCTTACATCAACTACTGCTTGTATTGAGGAATCTGACAATGTATCGACGATCAGCAGACAAGAAAAAGAAGGAGCCATTAATGGATACGAAAGATGCAAAGAAACGTTTGGACGTGGATTTGCGTGCGTTGGATACGCTCGTAGACTTGCTGCATATTCATCGCGACATGCATCATGTCTTTGTGCTTTCGGCAAAGGTGATCATGTACTATTTGGAACGACTGCGGCCCTTTGTAAGTACACATGAAGACGTGAACGAAAGTTGGAGTGGAGCAGAGAAACGATTGACTGGTCTACGGGAACTGCTGATGAGAAAACTGGCACTGTACAACGCAACGGCTTCATTTCGACGTGCGAATCGGATTTCGGATAAATCTGCTGCGAACAATCTCATGCGGAAGGTGGATCCAAAGACTGCTGTTTCTATTATGGAACAGATTATGCGTTTGGTCGTACGCTAATGATGAAAGTACAATAATAATTTGACAATGGTTGTACGTTAGTGCTTGTGTACATCTACAAGAGTTATGAAAACGTTTCGTGTATTCAAATCTCTTGCACTTTTAAGAAATGAATGACGAGAAGACTGCGGCGCTACAGCAATTGCAAGCCAAACAAATTACTCACTACATTCAAAGTGTGAAAGATGCAATACAAGCAGAGGAGCATCGGAATCAAAGATTGCAAAAAGTTACGAGCAAACGGGAAGCGGAACGGTTAGAAACCCAATTTCTCGTTGAACGCAGAAAAGATTGTGAGCGTTTGCGTCATCTTCAAGAAGATCACGCATTATTATTGAGTAAAAAACTTGCTGAATGGAAGACAGCAAATCAAATTGTTAATGCTGAAACAAGTGATCGTCACTGTTCGTCTTCTTTTTGAGGTGGAGGGCCACAAGGTTGTAGCATCTTTTCCAGCATATTATACCGCACGCGACCCATTGACTCATTCTCAGCTACGGCAAAGTACGCAAGCATGTCCGAGTGACCCAAGTGTGATGCTAATGTGTCGCGATGTTGGTTTACTGCCCATTCACTAGAATCAATAGGAAGATAAAAGGTTAAAAGTAAAATAAATGCTATGATACATGACGAACGAACAATTTGGTCGTATCAGCGTGGCCTGTACCCACGTATTTGGCCTGTAGATGCTCCCACTGCCGATTGATGTTAAAACGGTCTGCTGCCTGTAAATAAATATCATCGTCACGAAAGTGATCAGCATCACGAGACAGAGCCACAGAATAGGATTCAACGCACCATTTTTAATTTAAAACTGAAATTGCGAGTATTTGTGTGCGCCACATGATAGTAAAATGTTTGTGCGTGTTAGGTCTTGTTGGCTACGCCGCTGTAGTGCATCATCTTCTCGATCGTTTTCTGCTCTTGTCGATTCAAAATGGGTACGCGCGGTAGAAAGTAATCGTACGTCGGAGCTACTATTTTTGGATTGTAACCATCCTTCGCTTTATGATCGCGGCCACATTCCTGAGGCCATTTCTCTCACGTTGGCTTCATCTCTTTTTAAGGATCCGACTCCTCAAGCCACTGGCGTTGTTGACTTAGAGCTCTTTGTGGATATGATTAAGGAGTTACCAGTTTCTGAAAACACGACGATTATATTCTATGACGATGAATTGAGTCTTAAAGCAACGCGTACGTGGTGGGTCTTTCGTCATTACGGATTTCCACTCAAGCAGCTTAAGGTGTTAGATGGAGGTCTCAAGCAGTGGCAAGATGATGGCAATGAAGTAAAGGCGGAAAAATGCAACGGAGTGCGAAATCATGTTGTGCCTTGGAGATCACCTGTCGACTCGCACAAGCTTGTTGGCTTACAAGACGTGCAAAAAGGTATTGCAGAGTCATCTACGCAGTTTGTGGATGCGAGATCTTCGGGTGAGTACTGGGGTGACGATGCTAATGGCAATGCACGCGTGGGTCATATACCGAGAGCTTTCAATTTCAATTGGATCGAAGGTGTAAATCTTCGTCAAAATGGAAAGTTTAAAACTAAGGAAGAACTTGACAAAATATTCGTTGATCATTTTCATCTTGACAAGGAAAAACCAGTTATTACGTACTGTCAGCGGGGGATTCGAGCGGCTCACACAGCATTTGCACTTGAGCAGGTTATGGGTTTTAAAGATGTTAAGATATACGAAGACTCCATGCTACATTATTTGAATCGGGAGGATACCGAAGTGGTGCAAAAGTGAGCTGAGCTGGCGAGATGCTTAACGAGTTATGTTTTGTGTTCAAGCTCCATGTTGGCATGTGTCAAAGCAAAATTTATTATCGACGCCGGAAAAAACAAAGACTGCTTTAAATTGTTTAAACTAATATTACTTCAAGTCTTGAGCTTCAACTACATTTCTCAATCCATCAAAACAATTTTGTAGAAATTTGCACGTATACTGAGTAAAAAGATCATTGTAAGTCGCTGAGTTATCTATTAATCATTGAAGCCATTGAAACAGCAAAGATCAATGACGCATGAAGTTTTCTTTCATTCTGTTTCAAGGCTTTGTGATATGACGAGTCAGCATTTGCGCTTTGCTACCTGGCATCAGGATTTTTGACAATACAGTGATTATCCACCACGTAGCTTCTATTAGGCTGGGTACTAATCAATTTGAAAAATATGAGGTACTAGGGGGTTTACCTCTCTGCAACAACTCTTTGTTTAGAATAAATCAAGAGATTGGTCTATTACAAGTAATTTGCATACGTGTGATTGGATTTGTTATTATTGATGCTTATATAATGGCGGAGCACTTCTCATTCAAACCAGAAAGATGACGCCAATAGCAGCCGCGACAATAATTTTATTCTTATTTACTCACATATGAGCAGGTCTGACAAATTGCTTTGACATTCAGCCTTGAGAACTTTTGTGCCCTAAGAAATTCGAGCTGCAAGTCAAACCAATTGATGTAAGCCAACTAATCCTATCGTAAGAAAAAGACATTGAGAATAATAGAAATGGCGTGTTTAGCAGACAATACTGTTAAAACGAAGCATGTACAGAACGCACAGTATCATAATAGCATTTTAACAAGATTTAAGATAAATGCTCGCTGTATTTAACTAATTAAATATCACGATCAATTATTCAAACGTTTGTAGGCGGTTGAAAAGAGTTCGTCGTCTTGGTGGGGATGCACTTGGGCGAAAGCGTTTTCGAGATGTTCGGCGGCGTGCGGCAACGTGCGAATATCCCTAGCAACAGTGGAGACGGTTTCCTTAGGAACGAGACGAACTAATTCATCCCCACCGCTATGTAGACGACGCCGAAGGAATTCCTTTGGTTTGTGTCCCTCAATAACTTGATTGAAACTCTTCAAGCTCGCTTCATGATCAGGCGTAGTTGTTGAAAAGGCATCGCTTAGACTGCCGAGAATTACCGCTGATGTAAGAAAAATGACAGACAGAACTCGCATGGTAGTCGGAATGTGAAGAGGAATTGGGAAATGAAGGTATCGAGGCTAAGCTGGTGGATGCGAATGGCGGAGTGAGATCATCGTCGCAGTTTAGTTTTCAGAGAAATCCTTGAAACCCGATGGATCAGCTTTTGATTAGAATCAGGTGATGCGACACTACTGCAGGCTGACATGTAGCCGGATTGTACGAATGAGCAGATGACATCATAACCACTATCATGGCGATCAATATAGAGAGTTATTACATAATCATTTTGCAAATTGCATAGTATACTTGGCTCATTAGTCTTTTTGTGATATTGTTGCCGACTTTAGCAGATAAAGATGATGTATGCAGCTACATATTCAGTTTCAGTACGCTCTATGTCTGTCTGGATGCTTGTCACGATATTTAATGGATGCGAACAACGCACTATAGTTTTACTGTATCATCAAACATTACAAAAAAAATGTCTACCAACGTGATTGCTCCTCAGCAAGCAAAATATTAAATTGTGCTGTCCAACACACATGGCTACCAAACAGATTGCAACATTGGGCTGGTCTGCATCACGAAGTTAAAAATTGAGAGACTACAGCAAAGCTTTGAGAAACTCAGTACGTGACTAGTCGTTAGTTTAGTCTTCGTCTCGCTTCAAAGTATAACCGAATTTACATGCTTGAACTATGTAAACAATTGACTTTGTCAACAACCTATTGTTCATAAGACTCAAAAATGGCAAAATATCAGAGCCAGACCCGACAACTAATAAGAGACATAATGAGTTTTTTCATGTACTTTATTGATACCTAGGTCATGCTAGAACCTTCTATTGATCTATCTGTCTAAATTGTACGCGGCAGCTATGCATACCCTAGACTGAATGTGCTGGGTGTTTTCTGTAATCGTGCGTGGTCTAGTGATTCAGTCAATATTAGCGTACATGATCTATTGGAAGAAATATATTATTCTGCAGCTAAAGGTGATGAGATAGCTGCATTGTGTGTAAATCGCCACATTCAAGAACAACTCGCTTTAGTTATGGATACAGTTTTAGTTAATATGAAAAAGTCGCTGAATAGTGGCGTAGTCGCTCAAAAAGTTGACGGTATAGAAACTTGATAGCCAACAAGAAGACTCACGCTGCACTTGCGAAGGATGAAACCTAAAGATTGTATAAAATTGTTGTCCAAAAAACAATTTGTAATCCCGTCAATTGCTCCGGGATCGCTCTAAACAAGCCACGGCATGTCCAGAATCAACTGCATTTTCGTTTGAAACTCAAGCAAGCTTTAGGATGCCCTAGTTGTGAGCTAATATAATCAGTCAGAATTACATTAAAGGGGCTTGTTTCATAGCGAAGCTTGTATCGCCTATCAAACTACCCACAACATAATATAAATTTGCATTTACATTTACAACAATTGCACACTTTCACGTAAAAGCGCTAGCGAGTAAATTTCTACCAAAAATACGTAGAAAAACTCAACTCTCAACTGTAGCTGACCGTTGGCCTATGACGTCAAGATCAACAGTTAGTAAAGTGTTGTCGCTATATCAAATCGTTTAAGTTCGTACTTGTCAAGTAGACTCATTCTCTCCGCACTTGTGGAGCTACTGAGATCATAGTTTTTATGTTGAGTTTTCTTTGACTCCATGAAGTAAATGACCGACGACGCCACAAAAAGCGCTCCGTACAGAGCAGCCGATTCAAAAATAGGTACTGAGCTCTTCACATTCTTGTTTATCTTCATATATTCCGGCTGCAGCTTAAAGAGAATTCCCACTAAAAGAAGGAATAGAAACCCACACAACGACAGCGTGGAGCAGATAAGCGCATCTGATAATAAGTATATTAGTATCTACTATTGCCAAAAATCATATACTTCGTGACAACGTACAGAAGATCTTGTTACTCATTGTCGCTGAGCTGAGATGAAAGTAAGTTGTGATAGAATTCTGGACCTCAGACCGTTGACTGATAGTTCGAAGGTATAGTATGCACTAATGAAGTCTTTTAAGCGATCTGAGTACCAAGTGTGGAAGAGGAACCTTGTAGTGATCTCAAATATAAAAATTACCGGTATATTCTGGAATAAACTCATCCATTTCTTCCAATCACTGTCGGAAACATTAGTACCATGTATGACTTCTGCCTCACGATTCCGGTACGTTTGCGCCCATCTCGATGCTTCTTGCTTCACTAAGCTGTCTGCCTTGTCTGCTATATATAAAGCTAATAAACTAATGATTTCAATTGTCTATGTTGTGGTTTTATAGTATGGAATGCTCTTGGGCGTAGGTGGTGTCATTGGCTTCATAAACACGGGTAGCACTATGTCTGTCGCAGCCGGTGGACTGTCTGGTGCCATTTTGAGCTTCCTTGGCTACTGCAGTTATAATGAGTACAAACAGAGTCCTGTGACGTCTAAATTGTGGCCTGGTCTCTCGTTAGCCGTGTCTACAGCGCTCACTATTACTATGGGCAACCGCTACAACAAAACGAACGCATTTTTCCCAGCAGGTTTCTTGGCTGCTTACAGCGCTGGTATGTCAATCTTTTACGTGTGGGTTCTTACTAAAAAGAGCAAGCCACAATACAAGAAGAAAGCTTGAGTAGCTTAAGAGCTTTGCGTCGTAATGCAGATCAATGAACAGTACGTTGTTTTTGATTCAAGAAAGTTAAGTACATAACGTCTGTACATTATGCTGTAAACCTCTAAAAAGTTGCTAAGACGATGGAGCTTGTCGTGATCGTCTTGCAGAACTAAGCACAGTATCACATGAACTACTACTGTCACCAGAATTCACAGTATTCGCTTTTGCTGCCTTAAATTGATGTGCAAAGGATATAATATCACGCACAGCATTTGCCAACCATTCTCGATGCAGTGAACTAGCAACTTGCAAATCAAGTGACCTTGTTGGTGTCACAAGTGAGAGACACGATTCAGGATCAATTGCAACTGCTGCAGCCGCCTTCTTATTACCACGCCCAAAAGATGGTGTACTACCATTTCCAATAGAATTGTCGTGACCTTCAATGACTTGGATCTTATCAACAACCAAAAATTCAACGCTACGCTCACCGTGTTTGCGTCTCCAACGTAATTGAAGTGGAGTCATTGGATCGTATAGCAAGCGCGAGGCATGTGGACGACCACGTCGACCAAATTTTGTCACGATCGTATCATTGATCGTATTTGTTGCCAGTGTTAAAGTTATCGTAAGACGTTGTTTGCGAGCTGTTAATGTACGATGTTGTTTGGCGCGAGTGCTTAATTCACGTTGCACTTGCTGACCCAATGCATTTAATTGAGGATATAGCTCTTCCTTTGTCACTTCTTTAGCTGTATATTTGGACAATAGTGATCGTAAGTGAGCTTTGGCCCACGGATAATCGTGCATCATAGATTTCACATATCGTAGTTGTCGCAACATGATACCATGTTGTGCAGGTCCAAGTTCCATCATATTAGCAGCACTCATAAATGGCACGCGAATGCACCGGTCATTCCAATGCCATACGACACATCGCACTGGTTTTTTAGCAATAAGAAGCTGTGGAACGCCATCACGTGCGCGTACACGCAACACCATTTGTGTTTGAGAAGAAGGTATTGGAGAAGATGTCGAGGATGTCGCATTAAGAGAGCTAGATGAGGGTTTGCTGGTCAAAGTAATTGAATTTCGTTTGCTATAAGAAGTGACGGGTATCTGTTTCCTGATGGTCGAAAAGCTCATGTTACGACGATTTGACGTTAATTTCGAAACTGTAGAATGACATGTACTTGTCGATTTACGGCGAGAAGCCTCTCGTTGTTTAATCAATTTAAAGGCATAAGGCAAAGTGAACGACGCATTCTCACGTTTTGACGCTGCAATGTTTGCGCTTGGGTTCAAGAGATTGATTCCAGCGAAATTGCTACTTTTAAGCGAAGTGCGCTTCATGATAAACGATTTTCGTCGTAGTGGAACGGTGCAAGTAATTTTGGAATTGTGGCTATAGCGACGAATTGGACCTGAAGTACATGTTAGGCCTGACTTCTTGTCTTCATTTTCCAAAAAACGTAATAACTCTTTTTCTGGAAATCGAAACTTTTGACGAGACGTTCGTTTGACAAATTTCGAGGACAGCGCATTCAAAGAAGGCGAATCTCCGTTGACATAATTATTGTTCCACCCATCTCTTCCACGCGGTAGTTGAGGAACCTGGACACCTTTTAGCACGGCATTGTCTGTCAAGATGGGGACAAGCTCGCGCAATCTGGTCGCCAATATTGGACGTGACAAAGGTGCTGTGTTGAGCTCTTTGTTAATTGATATCTCATGTTTGACATGTTTTTCTTCATCATTATTGGTTTCAAATTGATTCGACATTGCCTGTACAATCTCTTCAGTGATTCTGTAGTCGAGAGAGCCTTCAGTATCAGTGTAACAATCGACATCTACTTCTCCCAGTCTGCCACAAACATGAAGATTATTGTCAATCTCAGGCTCCAACGTTTTCTCCACTTCAACGGTTTCACAATGTTCTCGTTCTCGATCACCATATTTATGAGTCTCCTTCTCTTCATTGACGTGTTTCTCGTTATTCGTTAGGCATTGCTGAACCAAATATACGAGCTCGTGGACTTGTGGGCTGCATAAACAAAACGCGTCCATCAGCTATGATTTAATTGTCATAGGAAAAGTATATGAATAAGCTTTTCGTACTCTTTGGGATAGTTGCGCCCAAGCTCCTGAACCTGCATTAACATTTCTGCCCAAACATTCGCATTCTCAAGGCAGCCAGAGTTATAAGCAGTGATCTTCTTCGCCTGCTCGAGCTTCGCATGCATGATAAGCTCAGTCAGCGCCTTGCGACGATCATACTTAGGCCATCGTACAAGTGCGTCTTCAACAGCATCAATAGCTTGCTGAACAATATCAATGTAGTCTGCAGAACTTTCAAATATCGACGATGACGAAACTAAAAGTTTATTTTGATGTAGAAGATCAATTTCATTTCGAAAGTTCGTCTCCATTTTGGCTAATGATGAAAGAGCAAGGAGAGTGTCATCATCCCCATCACTGTCATACACTAATGTCGGCGACTTTTCAATCTCAAGCGGTGACGTGGGTCCATTTCGATACAAAAGACTCGTTGAAGACATTGTGCTATTGTCAAAGTTATTACTCGCCATGATGTTGTTTTAAACTGTTGAGTGAGGCGTCAAATGATAAGAGAAGCCAGCATGAAAGAGCGAATGCGATACTGTTTGGCTAACCTCATGGATTAGTGGCTGCTCTTGTATTGTATTCATAGCACCTTCCCATTTAGAGTAAGACTGCAAGACGCATGGGATGACATCAGACTATATTTAACTCTGCACATACCACTGAAAGTATTGAGACGCTTATATAGAAATGGATTACTCAGCCCAGAATACTAATGCAGAAGTGTGATTTTTTATCAGAGACGCATTTAAATCAAAGTTAATGAAAGCGACAGCGAATTTAGCCTAAATTTCAAGAAGATTTTGATACAGGATCTAAGAATATTACAAAGTCGTGATAATATACAGGTAATATGTTTTTGCAAAGGATTGAAGAGATTAAATATCTAAAAATGGGGTAGCATTCGTGTTATGTTGCGTGGTAGAACTAATGAGATGGTTTATGCTGGAAACGCTCCCTGTCTATTGATCAGACGCAGTTAGCTAAGAAGCTGTCCGTTTAGACTCTTAAGAACTCGTGTTCCCGGACAACTAGAATAATCTCAGGTACCGTTACACAACGGTAAGCACAAGAAGGCATCCACCTCGAGTAATTGCTACCCAAATTTACGCCTTCAAAATAAACATTGATCTTGGATATCATATCCTCAACCAAACAGATAGTGATTTTAGCCAGTGACTGGCAGGTAATTCTGGCTAGCATTTGCGTGTTCAAGACCCGTATTGCTATCAGTCGATCTGACTTCCGTAGAAATAATTTAGCGGTCAATAAGCCAAACCATCCCAAATCTGGCTTTAAGTTGGAGGCGATCACAGGCTTTCGTAGTTACATCTACTTCTGCCAGTATGGACTCGGCAACAGAGAAGCTATAATTTTACAGATTTCGCGCGAGAGCGCACATGATTAATTTTTTCTAAAACCAAAGAATTGTATTTGTTTCATTGTCACGTGGCACTTGCCAATAAAGATCATAGTCAGTCCCAGGCTCGATTGAGTGAAGTATTTATGCGCCACTACTCTTACTTGAGTTTCGATATTCGCTAAACCTTTTGCAGCTCGATGAACCAGTGGAATTCTTTAGCTTCAGTAAAAAAAGCGTCTACTCCATCGATGTTAAGACGGGTGACGTTAGAATGTGAAGAACATCACGCTAAGTAAGGTTAAAAAGGTTCTTCAAAGTCAGAGTAGCCATAGGAGGACGGATAATTGAAAATGCTGGAAAATTCAAATGTTGCACTCCATGCAATCATGGTAAAGTTAATATCAATGTATTGACTGTGACCAGGTTGATCATATGCATGAAAGATGAAGCAGCGATGAGAGTTGGTCAAAAGACAATCAGAGGGATGGTTCACCGACGGTAGTATATTAATCGAAGACATCGTTCAGATTTTGGCAGTCAATGGGCGTTTTTTGTGGTGATGCAACAACTAATAATGTTTCTTGGATCGCGTTCTGCACTACCACAAGACTGCTCATAAAACATCAACTTGGTTGCAAGCCTATTTTATCGATACACAGGCCTGCAAAGATAGAACGTAGGTATGTATAAGACCATTGATACAAGCGTCGAAGTAATGATTGCCGACGGCAAACGTTACTCATCAACGGAACGGGCACGATGCACATCACCATTTTGGGGGATAAAGGGGGGCTTGCATAATTAAGGTGTTTTATATATTTCACGAATCGGTATAAGCTATCTGCTAGAAGATTGATGAACGTGGCATGAGGGCATGGGTCTCGCTCGTCCTGTGTAACGGAATATGCGATTGCAGCAAGTACGAGAACGGAAAAAAGCGTTTGAGAAGAAACATGTTCAAGAAGTGTCTCCGTACTGTAACTCAATTGGAGCGTAAGCACTCTCTAATGGGGCAGCCACATAAGGAAGCTCTAATAAAGATACAAGCTTTATAATGACGTGGTTAAGCACATCGGTCAACAAGGTGCCAGAAGTGGTGGCATATCGTTCACATTAGGGTTAAGCTGTCAACGCAGTCGCCTACAACGAAAGATGGTCGATTGATGATGCGCTTGAAGTCGCAATGATCCGTGTTATATGTCTGCTGAACATCAAGACATGTATTGGACAGGACGGGGTACGGGATAATACCGAAGTCTCTTTTTTAGAAGATTCTCGATTGCATCATCGATGTGCAGCTTTTTTTATGCGACACTACCCAAAACTTATTTACTATAATGGTATTGAGCACCTAGGAAGTTGCGGTTAAGGCGTAATCATTTGCGGATTGGGATAGCAACACAGATAAGAGACGTACGTTATAGGAATTATACTCATGACTGCAGATACACCAGTGTCATTCAAGTCTCGGCTGTATGGTGCGCCGCGTTTGCTCACATCAAGTTCGATGGACGCGTGCGATGATTTGTGGACATGGATCACAAGCAAATTGAAGGCATAAAATTTTGATAAGACAGCCGAGAGCTTTAGCCAACAGCGCCGAACACCATGCTTGGAAGAATCACGCGAACATTCGGCATCGCTTCGTCCGCAAAAAGGTGCAAAAAAGACACAAGATGTTCTACTCCATCGACACGAAACATTAGCTTGCGTATTTGCTCGCATTGGCACTCGGATCCAAGATGCTGAGTTTAAGTAGGTATCAACACCAAGCCAGTGTCATCGAGCAACAAGCATCACTAGCTGATACAATGTTGATAAATGGTGATGTTGCAGCTGTCTGTTTGCTTGTTAAGCACAAGATCATCACTTTTTCGTTCGGAACACGGTGTAACGGGGTTACAGGTACCCTGGTATAAAGGGTAAGATATTGTGACCACACAATGGCGCGGCCACATTTTAGCAAGAAGCCACTACGTGGCGGGACAACATAGTTTTTAGTACTTTTTTATTCAGAAAAACCTATAGATTCGGATATCGGCGGCTGGCGCCCGAGGTCTTTGATCTTCAATCG